TCAGCATCTTGCATGCACCAGATTGGCCTTTTTTTTAGGATATTTTACATAGTTCCTATTTTGTGCTGAGTATTCTCTTCAGAAGCAGAGCAGGAAGTAAAAGTCCTTGCATGTGCAGAAAACTCTTGGTCTTAAAATATCACTATGGAGTCTTCCTCATTGTGTAATAGTCATATGTGTCCCTTTCAGTTTGACTTTTTGGTACATACATTCCAAGGTATTTAGCTTCTTTTATCATGGTTTCGGCAGCTGGACAGTCAGGTCATGGATAGATTAAGGAAAGTGTCAAGACCCCCTCTGGCCTTACCCTTATAAAATGTCACTCAAAGAGACACGTACCAAACAGTAGGAGACTCAAAATAGTTATATAGAAACGAAAAACAACTATACAAAGATATTTAAAACTAGAACAGAGACACAAAACAACCTCAAAGAGTCATAAAAAAACCCACAATGAGACAAAAATGGCCAAAACAAGGCACACAACAACCATAGAGAGGTATTTAAGGAGGGCAAAGAGCACAAAACAACAAACAAACAGTACAAAAGCATCACAAAGCGTGTCTTCCCCTGATAGGAAAGATGATGGATCTCTGCACACAGGGGCTCACTGTCTCACAATCCGTCTGTAAGTCAGATGGCAGAGTTTAGAGAGATTGTGGAGAGTAAATCTGTCAAAAACTGTGGATTTGGAAAAGTGAGAGTGATATCTCCCAGATCTCCTCGGTGAAATCTCACCAGATGACAAACTTCTCTTAAAGTTGACATTCAGAGATATTTGTGAGGCTGCAGTAAACCACAGGAATAACATTAGAAGCAGAGGGGCTCTCCATTTCAAAACAGTCTCCCCCTCTCTTCTTCAATCCCTCCATCAACAGTTCCCTGGCCTCAGGGATTTTATGATCACTTAACACAGTTTGTCAACTTCAGGTTTTTGGGGTTTTATGTCTCTCGCTATAGGCTGCTGGCAGGGCTCACGCACTGCATGCCCAAATCAGTTTTACTGCCTCTCCAGTGCGAGCGTTCCCTGGAAAAATACAACCGTCTCATGCTGTGGTGAGATGTGGAAACATCAGGGTGTACATTATTTAGATGTTTTCAATCTGCAGTGAGTGAGAGGTTTATAAACTCTCCGTGGAAGAGGACGGTGGATTTCAAGCTGGAAAGTTACATGATATGAGTTACAACACAGACATTAGGACTTTATTCAGCTACTGTTTGCATAATTTAAAAGCCTCTCACAGTGGTATATCAATTTGGTAATATTTAAGAGGACATATAAATAACACTTTGAGGTTCGTATTAATATTTGTAACCCCTACTGTGACATGTTTACATGCCTTAATGTTCAAAAAGGTCTTTTTTATTGTTCTCATACTGCCTGTGCTCCAGCACCTCTTTTCACCCTCTGTCTGAAACCAGAGCCCAGTCTGCTCTGATTGGGTAAAAGGCTTTGTTGTGATTGGTCAACCTCTTAGAGATGTTCCACCCCTTATGATATCACGTACAAGAACAATCTAATTTTCACAACATTAGTGAATAAGCTGCAGCAAACACAGGTTTATTCATGCGGGAGAATATACTGTCTTTTGTCAGGAGGAACAGGAAGTACCATAAATGCAGCACAGATCATGAGATGGTTTCGACCTCTGGAAACATGTCAATCATTCCCCCGAGCAACCAAACATCAATCATGGGCTGAGACTGAGGAGTAAAACGTCTGAGTACTGCTTCCAAAACTCAACAGCAACTTAGAAATGATGCCTGAACTAAAGGATCGTTCAGCACTGGTGGAGGTTTTCTTGCTCTAAATGCTTTCACTTTGTCTTTTTGACTGTTTTCACCCAGACAGAGTGTAGCAGCTCATTGGGTGGGCTTCCAGGAGCGACCCATCATAAAAACATTTCTCAGTTTATCACTCCTGCAAGCTGGTTAATGTCTGAAAAGCAGGATACTTTATAGGCACGCACACATGGAAACACACTGCCTGCCCAGGACATGGAGGCATATTCACACACACACACACACACACACACACACACACCACACACAGTATCAGTAGCCTGGGAGCTGTTTCTGTGTGTGAGGTAATTACTCCATGCAGCTCAGCGAGGCTTTGATGGAAAGTTTTAGACTAACTGTAAGAAGTCTTTTTTACCAAGGTGGCTCCTTTTCTCTCTTAAACGCCGCCTTTTCATGGCATCCTGGAAAGATTTAAGTCTAATTTTTAAATATTACATGAAAGAAAATGGCTCTTTGAGGTGTTTCAATGTGTTTTCTCTCCTTCTTGCTGGAGAGGCTTCTTCATAGTGCTGAGGTTGTCTGCCCTGCTTTGTCTGCCCGCTGCGCCTGACTCATGTGGGAGCACTGGGTGACAGGACGGCTTCCCTTCTCAAACCACTAACAGCCGGTTGTGTGTGTACTGCAAGTGGTCTGGTCCACAGCGAGTGTGTGATGTGTCTGCCGTGGTAGCAGAGCGGTAGTCTGAGCAGGCCGCTCGCCTGTTGACTTTCTATCCCCATTTCTGCTCCTTTTTCCAGCCACTGGCCAAAAACATGGGAGTATTTTTGGAACATCTCGCCTCAGGTGTTTCAAGCCAGAGCCATGTAGGGTTCTTCGGTACAGATGGTTTTAAACCTGAAGGGATGATGGTGACTCACCTCTATGCAAAAGAGTTCAACTCACATAATCAAGTGCTTTGGCAAACAGAGTGTGATGTTCACTGAATTGCAAATGTGCTGCTCCGGGCAATATAAACCAATCTAATCCCTGTTTTGACATCACTGCTCTGGACACACTCACACACATGCACGTATACGCACATTTGAGCGGTTTATGCACGTCAGCAAAAGCCCCTGGACAAAAAATACAGATGTCCAAGACTGATTTGTGCTCAGATAATTATAAACTTTGTGCTTCTCTGTCACAATGCATTTCAGGATTAAAAGATTGTGCAAGTTTATCTGTAAATAATCTCAGTTAACATAGGCTAAATATTGCATTATTTAAAACTGTTTTCTAGTTCAGATTCAAATATCTCAACAACTTTTTGCATGGATGGATGTATAAGCATTTCAATTATTTGATCTTTTTAAGAAACCAATGATTGACTTTTATTAGATTGCTAACATGTGAGACAAGCTATAGTTAGGCTAATATCAACATGTTAGCATTGAGTGTTTAGCATGACGTTAGCGTTCAGTTTCAACACTAGAGTCATGCTGTTCACAAACCTTAGCTAATTTTATTTACAGTTTAATATTTAACAGCAGGTTTGGTTATAATTCAGTCATCATTTAGTTGCTTCAAGAGGGAGCTGTGCGTTTTTACAGGTCTGCACAAACATCAATTAAACTATATTTAACACAAGCAACAACTGAATGCATGAATTATAAGTGGTTGAAAGTGAATTTAGCATATCAACAGCACAATAACAAAGGGTCTCTCAGATGTCTATATTAATGATTTAATATAAAGCATACAGATGGAGACTGTCTGCTGCCAAACAGGGTTTACACATAAAGAGCTTACTCAAGCACAACAACATCAGAGATGCCTCCAAGACCGACCCGCCTTACGTAACCGTCGCTCATCCACACAATTTATAATCCTCTGTTGCTATGGATACGGTTCTCCCAACGGCCCCCCCTGTATTAATGAATCCAAGCACAGAGCTAACAAAATAAAATACAAAAATAATGGATGAATTATTAAAATAGATGCTTAAAGCAATGCAGAAACTGAAGGCAGAGCAGTTGTATTTGTATAAACACAGGAGAGTACAAATAATATTTCAGTGCAATAATATGGATGAATAGTTTAAAAATGTTGGATTAATGGTGAAAGTAACATGAAACCTAATGGGTAAATTGGTAAAAATGTATGTTCTCTCTTGGTATAGTTTGAAAATATGACCATGATCATCTCCATCCAGAATCAAATCCAAAATGTCAATTTGGTAACTTTCCTGAGCCTGGAGGTATGAGAGGAATCAGTGTGAGCAGAGCTGTGTGGTTAACACTCCATCTCAATGCAGATATATAGAAACTAGTTAGCATATCACAGTAATAAAGTCAGGTTAAACCAGCGAGTGGTGTTGCAGCTTCGCCTGTGGGTGGCTGCTGAGATGCACAATCAAATATAAAGTAATGAAAATAAAAGCAGATTGGATTAGAGGACCCTGTGGGGAAGGCATTTCATGTCGCAATGAGCAACACATAGATAAAAACCGTTGTTTAATTTTGCCACAAAACGCTGAATAATGGAAGGAATGTTAGTAACGTCGCAATACATCTGGCAGGAAAAGGATTTCTGTCATTGGTAATACAATATGACATGTTGATGGGTATATGAATTCAGCCACATCGCTAGCATGGATGTAAAGACTTGTATTTTATTTTAATGTACAACTATAAACCTAAAGACTAGTAAAGAAACATTCAAGCAATGTAATAATGATAATACAACTACCATGCTGCTAAGACACCTGAATCTTATCTTATCTTAATAAAAATGCAATGGTCAATAAAAATGCCACAGAGCCAGTACAAATAAATATAATCCCTTTTGTTTTATTATGCAGTTATATGAGATGTACATTTAAAAGTATGACTACTGTACATTAGAAGTGCATATTACCAGAGGTGGAAAATGTACTATAAAAAAGGGGAAGTACTACAGTGTAGAAATACTTTGTTACAAGTAAAAGTCCTGCAATCAAAATGTTACTCAAGTAAAAGTAGAAAAGTATTTTGATAAATGTACGTATTACTTTACACCTCTGCATATTGTACTACTACAGTGGAACAGCCTATAGGCCACGCCCATAGACTTCTTCCTTATTATTAACGTGCATAACACAAATACTATACCTTATCACTCTTTCATTACACAGGTCCCGCCCTCTGTGAATGCAGGGGGGGGCGCTCCATGTGACGCTGGGCTGGAACAAAAATCCAGTATGGCGGAATCTGTCAGGAGATGATTTTTTTGTCCCCCCCCTGCGCTGAGAAAAAGCCATGGGAGAGAAATAAAAGCTCTGCGGGACACATGCTGGGACGACTGGCTTCCGGGAGGCGCGTGTAGGTGAGTTTGCTGTGTGTTGTGTGTGTGTTTGGGATGAATGCGCCGCTTTGATGTTGATATTCATGCAGGGATGCGACGCGCAGACAGGATTCATCAAAACAATGTCCGGCTGAAGTTTCCCCCTCTGCTCCGCCTCGGCTTCGGCTTCCCGGTCACATTTTCACGGCTTCCCTTGAGCCTGAACCGTGTCTGCTTCTGGTAGGAGTATTTTGGCTTGCTAAAAGCATTTAGCTGGACATTTCCATACGGTTTGTTGCTCTGTAGCGGGCGGGAAGTGTGAAAGCAGTCAAAGGGGAGGAGGAGGAGGAGGAGGGGGGGTTGGACGGGCGATGTTTATTATGCCGATTGTTGCTGAGCTATTTATAGTACGCGGCCGAGCCTTAGGCTTTAATGCAATATACAGAGTGCTGCTAACACGCCTGTGTTTCCGTATACCCATCTTATAAGCGATACAAATACGTAAAATGAAGGTACGGGCCTGTGTGAGTGTGTGTGAGTGTGTGTGAATGGTTCGGGATGGGCGGTGGTAATTCTCTGCATGCGTCAATCTTTTTTTGTGAATGGGGGCGTACGGGTTGTTGGAGCAACATGAGAGCAGTTACGGCTGTTTTAAAGTGTCTTTAAGCTGCTTTTTTAGGAAGAAATATTAGACTTAGCTGGTGGTTTTTATCATTTCATAGCACAAGGAGTTTGGGCTGGAGTCCACCCATCATTTTTTAACAGGCACAGCAGCTAGTGCCTTAATTAATGCAAGTAAGCACATTTTTTTGCTAGCTCTGGTGTTATTTCGCCATCATACCAGCGGTTTTAACCCATTTTCCATGTCTTTGTTTTTATTATTCCTTCACTTTGGGGCTTCAGGGCTGGCTTGTCCCCCCAGATCTGTCACCCTGCATCAAGCAAGCTCTTTTTAGGGACAATGGCCTAGGACAGACACACATGAACACCCCTCCCGAGACAGATGAGACGCCCTGGGAGAATGGTGGTGCATGAAGCCCCCCCCCGAAGTGTCTGTTACTCCCCGTGACATACACGACCACCCCCCTCCTCGCCTTGCTTTTTAAGTATGCGTGCACTGTGCAGTGACCGACTTTTTTGGGGGGCAATTTGTCCTGCGGCTGCACTGTCTGGCCTTCTTGTCTTGAGACCCCCCCCCCAGACACACACACACACACACACACACACACACACACACACACACACACACACACACACACACACACACACACACACACACATCCATTCTGCTTTTGAGGACCTCTGAGGCTCTACACGCACAGGCGTGAACAAGCTTTGCTACCCCCAAGCCCCACGCCGCCCCCCAACCACCTTGCCCTAGGGCAGTTTTACCCCTTGTACTTGATGCTCTGGTCTCCACTTGTGATTACTTCTGACACTCCTGCTCCAGGCTCGAGGAATTCAGGGCAAATCTCGGAAAGAAAAATAACAATAATTTATTTCCTGAAATAGCAATCAGTTCCATGCACAAACAAAGAAAACAAAACAAGGAAAACTCGGTAAAATTCACATTTTCCATGAGACTAACAGCTTTCTCTGAATTGAAAGTAATGCATATCTTTATGTTCTTCTCTTGGTCTTTGAAAGCACCAGTCAAAATGAAACTATGTCTGAGACGAGAAATATACTTCCTGGTTGGTTTACAGGTTATTGCCCTGCTAGTATGAGCCTGAACAATAGATCCTATTTATTTTCCACTGTTGCTTGAAACTCAGAAATTAGTCATTTTAGCACTTCTGGAGGTCAATGGTTTTCTGATTGTGTTTTGGTTGTTAGCCTGAAACAATGTGTGTGGTAACACAAGCTGAAGAGATTTTGTAGTAAATACTCGACTGGTGAATTAAAAAACGATAAATGAGACGACTAAACATCATCACGCCCAACATTAGCCCCCTTTAACTTGGCGGTGGTGAAGTTAACTCATGTGACCGTGCTGTAGCCGAACGTTAGCTTTTTACTTTAATGAATTTGACAATTGTGTTCCTTACTCCCTTTTTTATCTTCTCTGATAGGTTGGTACCATTGCTGCCGATCTGGTTGGAGTAACCAAAGTCAAAAGCCGGATGGGGATTGGCTGCTTCTGCTGGAATTTTACTTCCTGTTTCCAGCCGTGAGAGACTTTTGACGTATCTTCCTGAATATTCAACACACATTCTTTTAAACACACACTCCTGGACATTGACAGTTTGGATAACAGCCTCCTGATTGCAATCTGCAAACACACATCTGTTCTGCAACACACACACACACACACACACACACACACACACACCCACACACACACACACACACACACACACACACACACACACACACACACACACACACACACACACACACACCTGCGTTCTGTGTGAAGACACACCTGATCTGTCAGCGATGACATCACACAGCCACCAAGGTAAGTTCATTACCAATAATATCATGCTTACTTTTATTTTCAAGGTGTATATTAATGTTCTTCTGCTAATAACACAATTTGATATTTTTGGGGGTAATTTCAGGTCTTTTGTGGCAACAGATAGCAAAGTTAGACCCATGTGTCCAGATAATAATTGGCTTTTTTATGAAACATCCACAGTTAAGTTTCTGGCTTTTTTCACCTCGGGCAGCTTGTAATTCATGGATAGGGAAATTATTTCTAAAAGCCTAATGCATCCGTTTGAGAGGTAGAGTCGTTTACCGTGATTTAAGGGAGCAACTAATGTCTATTAAATAAGAGTTTAAGGAGTCATTCTGACTTTAAGAGCATTTTTGCATCCCAGAACAATGAAAACTCTTGGGAAAACCTTAATATGTCAGCACAAAAATGATCCAAATCATGTTTTTGATGCAAGTTAATGTTCTTCAAGGCCTTCCACGATAGTTTTGTCGGATGATATACAGCCATACCTGTCATATAGATGGATGACTATTTAGATTTTGAGCTTAAAAGCAATAACACTGTTATCTGGTCTTACGTCTGTTAATTAGATCAGTTTAATTTGACTAAGCTCCACAGGGTGAGAGAAAAAAGCCCATAACACGCTCATTAAGAGTTTTCTCTTTGACACCATATCAAGTTCACTTTTGAAGCTTGAGTTGTGGATAAATAATTCGGTAAGCAGCTGGCAGATGAAGAGGTTAGCCGCGAACGCTGTGGTACCTGACGGTGTCATCCATGTTTACTCTGTACACCTGGGAGTGTGTGCACTATAAATACCACAGCTGAGGTAACCAGCGGCCCTCGAGGGAGGTGAGCGAGCCTCAGCCGGCGCCGCTCCTACATCTCCATCACCGGCGCCTGAACGCACCACAGAGCGGATATTTAGGTTGCGGTCAAATAGTCAATTTTTCTTAGGAAGGTTCCAAGTGAAATGACCCGGAAGTGGTCATTTTGTGTCCTCTTTAGCTTAGGATACTCTGGACCACCTTTGACGAAATGAAAGGAGAAAATGCTGTCCCACAATACCTTGCAGCTGCAACATTTAAAAAGGCCCTATTGTGCTTTTTGGGGTTTTCCCTTTCCTGTAGTGTGTTGTATCGGTTTTTGTGCATGTAAATGGTCTCCAAAGGCTCAATTCCAGGCAGTATGCATGTCAAATTAGAGGCACCAAATATGAACCTGAAAAAGAGCAGAATAGTTGACCTATTCCTTACAGTCCTTGTCCATATGCACCTTTTCATGGTGTCACTTTCCGCGTCCCCTAGTGCAGGGGTTCCCAAAGTGGGGGTCGTGAGAGGATTATAAAAAGAAATTAAAAAAAAAATTAAAAAAATAGATTAATATTTTTTATAATTTTTTTTTTTTAATTAAAAAGAAAACAATTATTATTAATAATAACGTTTGCATAGACATTTTTTTCTTTGACAATCCACTAGCGCAGTGTTTCTCAAACTTTTTTTTTTCTGAAATTAATTCACTATCACCCCCCCTCCCCTGTCAACAGGGGGTCGCCAGTCTCTGGCACTGTTATTTTGGGGGTCGCGGGCTGAAAAGTTTGGGAACCCCTGCCCTAGTGGACCTATTGCATTACACTGTTAGATCAACCCCGGATTAGTGCGGCTCAACTGTTATCATTAGACAGCCCTTTCTAATTCCTTCACATGTTCACTCATCTCAGGGTGGACCATTTAAGAAGTTAGCGCCATGAAGCCAAGCAATGCTCTGCTGTGGACCAGAGAAATGAATTTGACAGTCGCTGACAGACTATTTGTTCCTGTAGTTAGATTTAGTTTGCAGATGAAAGACAAGGTATCCATTTTGACACGTTTGAAATCAACACAGACAACAGGCACATATTTAAAAAAGTACCCCATGTTTCATGAATAAATAAATAGTAATTTGTAAGTCTTCCCTGCCTCTCTGATTGGCTTCATGAGTAAAACTGGCAAAAAGTCCCTTTTAAAAAAAACAAAACAATGACATTTAAACAGTCGTTCAGTGATTTTACAGTTCATTTCGAGCTTTATTATAAAAAATAGCTGTAGTATTATTTTGTATCACAGAACGGCTCTGTTGTGAGAAGACAAAGAGTGATATTGATTCAATGCCCAGATCTGAACTCAGCCAGGACAGGAAATGTCAGTCCTTCCTGGCCAGGGGCTGCATCAGCTGATAGAGCTGCTGTCCAAATACATTTGTTTTAATTTCCCACGCTGCCCTCCTCTACCTCCTCAGTGTGCATCCCACTGCAGGTCGTCGTAGCTGTGATCTTCTGTGAGTCCAGGAGAGACGCGTCGGAGCAGCAGCTGCTGTTTCTCACTGTCTCGTTGGGAGACGGCGACGGCCCTCAGAGAGCTGCCCAGTGTGGGCGTCAATTTGAGGTGTTGCTTCTCCAGTTTGAAAACAGCTCAGAGACACACTTGTTGGAAGTCGGTTCTCAGAGAGAGATGTTTAAAGATACGAGATGTGAGGGAAAACAGTACGGCCTTGTGGCGCCTGTCAGAGTTGTTCCTCTAAACAAGTGTTCGTGGCAGTGATGTCTACAGAAGTCTCCTTTTTACAGAAGCATTCATTCTTTTGAGAAATAGATGCTGGGGAATTGATCTCGTGGCCTTCGCTTGCATCAGGGTTGTCTGTCGCTGTTAGATTTCATTAGTTTTTTAATGAGTGTAATTAAACAGCATTGGCTTTGTTCTGGGGTGAACAATGAGACTTTCACATCCACGGCTTTGTTACACCCTGGTATCCAAAAGCTGGCAACTTTCTTTGCACTTATGTACCATCCTGGAGTGTGTGTGTGTGTGTGTGTGTGTTCATTCACACAGTTCATGCAGCAGCTGTGCGTGCCTGACTGTTTTTTTTGTTGTAATCTGTAAATGAGCTTACTATCACGCAGTGTTTTTCATCCAGCACTTACTCATTTTCTTTATTACAGCAGCAGTGGGATTTTCAGATTAAATATCATTTACCATAAATCTCTTCCTAGAAAAGTGAAATGTAAAACGCTTTGTCGGGTTTCATATTTCCCAGAACAAAAAGGGGGTCAGGCTGATATGCTCGCAGTGTTTGCGCAGGAGTGATCACCCTGTGTGCGGAGAGCTTTAGCACGTTAGCCGGACACATTTGTTTTACACTAGAGCTTAGCATTGAGCTAACATGTCGACCATGTTTGATTGAGCTGAGCGGTTTCTGTAAATGTCACGCTCAGGATGAAATTCACTCGCAGTTAGACTCAATGCAAACTCAAGCTGCTGCTGCACACATGCAAAACAGAAGCACATTTAAATTGAACTTTTTCAAATTCGGGGGTTCCTCATCATGTATTTCCCATGATCCTCTGGGGCCTCTCTGTGGTTGTGGTCACCTTATCAGCTCCTGGTGACCCTAACAGATGAAGCAGGAAACCACACAAACCACATACTGGAGAAACATAAAGATGATACTCTCTCTGAAATTAAGGGATAATGTACAGAATTAAGGGATAATGTACAGAATTAAGGGATAATGTATAGAATTAAGGGATAATGTACAGAATTAAGGGATAATGTACAGATGGGTATGAATTGTCTTTATGAATACAGTAAAGAAAGGAACCATAAGGCCATAATTCACCACTCATGTTGGCTTTTGCCACCATTATAAGCAAAGAGACTTCGTTGTGAATTTGATGCAGGCAATATAAAATGTAAGTGAGAGTAATTCAATAAATAAATGTGAAGGGCATGCTCCTCAGGTGTCTTTCTAAAGAGGGGAGGTGAAGCCGCTCGCTGGCAGCCTTTTTGTTTTCATCTTAGTCAGAACTGCACCGGCTTTCCAGGAAAGTCTGCAGTGTTTACCGCTGGAGAAAGAACTGGATGAGTCATACACACACACACACACACACACACACACACACACACACACACACACACACTCTGAGGCCAGTAAGTGCAAGGTCCTGTCAGTGATTATTTGTGAATGAGAGGTTTGAACTTTGTATGGTTATATGCAAAAAGTTCAATGATAATGCACCAACTCTACCAGAAGCAGCAGCAGGGTACAATCTGCTCAAATTTTGTACGGTGTGATTTTGAAGGGTGTGTGTGGGGGCGTGAGCGCCTTTTTATGGTGGTGAACCGGTGGACTTGACACACTGCTCTTTCCTCGAAGGCTTAACGGTATCTAGGTTACAAGCACAACCGTTTTTTAGCTTTACACAACTTTGAAACACATTACAAACAGCGAGGAGAATAGAATAATCTGCACGGTCAGGAGATTGCATCAGTCTGGTTTCTTTAGTCGTAGTGCAGGCTTTGTCAGATCTCAGTCCTGTGCTGACTCGTCGGGTTGTTTTGGCATTAATCAAGATTAGCTTTATGGGCGCTTGTTAAAGGGAATTGTTTTCTACACCTGCCAGTTTCCATTGGACTATTTGGATATTGAAACCCCCTTCTAACTGCTGGGAATTTCTACTTTCATAGATACCAAATCCATTATTGCCCAAAAGCAACATGTAAACCTAGAGCTTGCGTTATGGCGCTTTATCATTGGCCACATGTTTTTTTCCTGGTAATCACATTTCATTTTCTATCTGTCACAGTATGTGAGGTGACATTGACAAAAAAACTACAGTAGTGGTTAGGGCTACTCGATTATGGCAAAAATCATAATCTCGATTATTTGGGTCAATAATTGATATCGCGATTATTAAAAACGATTATCCATTTACTTTGAAAACATCCATTTATTGGAGACATTTTTTTTAATTGAAATGTATGTTTTTAACAGTTCATTACCCTGAACTTTAAGTATAATTCAACTGAAAAACCAGTGAAACAAACAAAGTAATAATAACAATAAAAAAATAACTGTTGTTTTCGTAATCGTTGCAAGCCATAATCGTAATTGCAATTACAATACGATTAATTGAGCAGCCCTAGTAGTGGTAGATAAAAAGTAAAAGTACCTATATATTATTATCAAATACTTCATTCTTAGTAAAAGTACTGCATTTAAGTAAACAAACAGAAGTATTGTCAGCTAAAAAGTACTAGTTCTGCAGAAAAAATTGCCTGCATTGTATTATTATCAAGTATATGAGATACTATTATATTATTATCATATATTATTATATTATAATACTTTTCCCTATTTTTAGTACTTCGCCCACAACTGAGCAATTTACCGTCCCATCTTTGGGTCTCACCCCTGTGTTTGATCAACTCTGTGTGCAGTACGGATCTCTGGATGCCTATAAGTCTATATTATGGATTTGCTTTTTATTACACCTGCCAGATACTATTAACGCTGCTGCAGCGGCATTATAGAGATTCAGGGACCGACTTTAGGGAGCACACCAGGAAGAGGAACCTGAAGTGCCCTTTAGCAAGGCTCATAACTCCTACCTGGTCCAGCAGAGCTGCCTCAGAAAGGCCTCCACAGACATATGTTAGAAAGAAGAGAGAAAAGAAGCTTCCCAAAAGTTAGTTGAATCTATACGCCTACTGCCTGAATCTGCTTTATGGGTTTCTCTTTATTTGGTTCATTTGTTCTTTTTTTCATTCAGCAGGTGACCCTATATGTTCATAAAATACTGTGTGTGAGCTTAACTGTATGCATTCAACTATAAGGGAGCATTTTCTGTACTGAGTTACATTTCATTACATTAAAATGGCTCATGCATGACATTTACATTTCTCTCATCCTCTTATCTGAACACACACACATCACACACGCTGCTCCGCTCCAGGGGTGACGGGGTTAAAAGTTTTCGCTGCAATAAAAAGGGCCCGGCTTATCCCTGAGTCTATATTTAGAAACACACACAGGACATGTTCGTGCACGCATACCGAACAAACAATCATTATATTTGTTCAGAATGAGTGCATCTTTTTTGTCACGTCCGTCTAGTATCCACTTGTGCTGTCTCTAAAGAAGACATAAATATGTTTTGTTCCTCTACCGGGACATGTCTCCATGCTTTAATGTCCAAAAATGTCTTTATTTGTCTCATACTGCCTCTTTTCACCCTCTGTCTGAAACCAGAGCCTAGTCTGCTCTGATTGGTTAACTGGCCGGCTGTGTTGTGATTTATCAACCGCTTAGAGATGTCCCGCCCCTTATGCTACTCCCACACATGCACAGAAACCCTATTTAAAGGGGAATCCCCAAATAGTGCAACAGGGCCTCTTTAAATGTCCTACGACTGATGAAATGTTATCAGATTTCAGAAGGCATTTGTGCGCCGCGTTCCCTCCTTCTGCCAGACGCTGCTGTCCTCTCATGTGCGACCAACCTGGCGGCACAGACCATCCCAGAACAAACCCAGGGGGGTCTCTTGTGCAACGTCCGACCCCTTATTTCACAATCTCTGCTTTGTCCTCCTGCAAATTGAGCGCGGCGCCCATACCGTCCCGCCACACCCATCCCCCGTGTTCTAAAAACAAGCATCCAATCACGGCCTGTCTACGGGGTGTATGTCATCAGAAGAGCTCTGTTTTTAATTGGCGTTAGGACAGAGACGGCAGAGAGGGAGCATGAGCTAATGAAAGGAACGGGACGCGTCTTTTGTCCCCGTGTCTTTTGTCTCGGGATACGGGATACACTTGCCAGTGAGCTGTCGGCGGCAATTACGGTTTACACTCCCGCCTCTGAGCCTTTTCCCTGTGCCTTTTGACATGGGGCTGCACGGTGCCAAATACCAGATACTAAACCGTGCACCTGTGACACTGCATGCATTTTGGGAAGTCATGTGCTTTAGGTAGTAAGGCCGAGATACTGACGCTTTAACATTAAATCCAAACTTTCACAAAGCAGCACAAAACTTTTCACAAATACGCCGGGCCGAATTACATACTGTGATTCTCCCAGCATGCCTCGAGGGTCAGACAGTTGTGTATATATGCGACTGTTCACGGGGGGTGCAAACTGTTCAGGGGTCACCCGTCCTTATCAGCCGCCGTGACGTCAGTCTGGCGCCCTCGGGAAGCAAATTTGCGACCCAGAGGAAAATTCTCTTCAAGGAGAGGCGTGTTTGATTAATCGTATTGTTCCTGTCTGGTTCACCTTGCTTTGCTGGAGTCACCCTGGACGAAGCAGCCAGAAAAGGGAAGTGCCTTGAATGTAATGAGGCTGGAGCATCCTTCCTCACTTTTCACTGTCTCTCTTTATTAAATAACATAGACAAAATATCCATATGTGCCAGAACAAAAGCCCAGGATACATATAAACTGTAATCACACTGTAAAACCTCTCATTTTGCCCTAATATGTGCAAAATTGACGCATTGCCTCTCGTCATGCTTTAAGCTGCACAAATACTGGTCTGAATTTAGATAAGGACCCACTGTCTTTAAACGGGACACATTCTGCTCATTTTTAGGTTAATATTAGCATGTTGTGCCTTTTTTTGTGTCAAAGCGATCTATAAAGAAAAATAAAAGCCTAAGTGCAGCAGAAACACATTATACTATTACATTCAAATACATTTACAAACAGTCATTAAGAAGCCAAGAGAGTAAAGTAAAAATCCATATGAATATCTATTTGATTTAATCTTAAAAAGGCTTCTGTTAACACGCAGCTCCAACTCATCCAGATTTCTCCATGCAGCAGACTCCCCTAGTTAGCTCATTTCTCTTCCCCATTCACAGCGCCCATCATAACACGCGTGTTTTCAACAAGAGGTAGCTCTCTGCCTGAGGCTAGCCGCGGCTATTTATAGCTCCCTGTCTCCCGATGCTCGCCCAGTGGGAGAGGGGAGCGAGGAGGATGGAGGAGAAAGAGGAGAAGAAAGAGAAGGAGGGAGGGAGGGGGCTGCTGGGTAACTAGGCTACATCCAAGATTGATGGACCCCGCTGCCGAGGTACAGGGTGCTTCTCTGCGGCCGCTGTGTTCGCGGTTCGTCGCCTCGTAACACACCTGCACGTGCCTCTCAGGTATCAGCCTTGTGGTCTGGACTGAAAGCGCTTTGTTGAAACTAACCGCAAGTTCTCCGTCAACTCTGACTCCCCACACTTAACGCGCAGATGTAAAGCAGCAACCGGCAATTTGCGCCAACAAGCCGGGCGTTGAGTTACCCCGCAAGCCACAGGTGTCATCACACACACCTCATTTACATTGCAAAACCCAGGAAGTGTGTGTGTGTTGTTTGAATAGGCCCATTTCGTGGTATCAGCTGTCATTGATGTGTTTGTTTTGGAGAGGCTGCTTTTGCAATATGTCCAAAACACTGCAGGTGTATGTCCCCGCTGATTTGACCTGTCGGAATTTGAATAGCACCTGTTTGTTTTCTCACCAGCGTGGTGGATTCAGGTAAAACAAAGTGTTCATATTAATTCAAAAAAGGACCAAACGAGTCCACACCCAAGTCCTCGCAGGGGTTGGTGCATCATGGGTGCAGCCATTCATGCAAGGTGGTGCGAGACGAAAACACACACATAATCAGCGCGCCATGCATCCTCCAGCTTCATGGCTAATTAAGTGTGTGTGTGTGTGTGTCTGTGTGTGTGTGTGTGTGTGTGTGTGTGTGTGTGTGTGTGTGTGTGTGTGTGTGTGTGTGTGTGTGTCTGGTCCAGAGAGAATTCCAGAAATAGATCATGCACAGTGAAACACTCGCCTGTTTTTCCTCCCTTTTTTATTCCTCCGGAGGGATTTGTTCATCTCCCATCCAAAGGAATAATTGCATGCTTTTGCGCCTCTGATGTCTGTGAATATATATGTATCAGGTGCTACTAAAAATACACACTTCCAGAGGGGATGTGTGTGTACGTAGTGACATATTTCTGCAGTCCTGATGCATGTCAATCCCATCCTTTCCTCCCTTTTTTGCGCCTTTATTTTCCCCGTTGTTTTCCTTCGCCTCCCCCTCCTTACCTCTGTCTACCCCCTCTTCCTCCTCTTCCTCCTCCTCCTCCAACACCCCTCTCTGTCGCTCTGCTTTTTATAGCCATGTCTTCCCAGGGCTCTGCAGCTACAAAAGCCTTTTCATGTTGCCACTATAATTACAGCCTGCACACTCGCACACACACACACACCCACGGACACGCATGCATACACACACAAACAGGGGAGAGGAGTGTGTGTGTGTGTGTGTGTGTGTGTGTGTGTGTGTGTGTGTGTTATCTGCATGTGCTGCTATACACAAAAGGGTGAGCTATTTTTACCTCTCTCCCTCCCTCCCTCCCTCCCTCGCTCCCTCTCCTCCTCACCCCCCTCCTCATCTCTCTCTGCTGCTGCTGCTGCCAGCCACATTTGCTATGCTGAGCACAGGCGGTATCAGTCCAACATCCCCGCTCTCACACACCGGACACACACACACACACACACACACACACACACACACACACACACACACACACACACACGCCAATGAAGGCTGCTCCCTCTGCGTCCCCCTCGTTTCTCCCCCCCCGCAGCCGGGCGTCTCTCTCTGCAGATTCACAGCTTGGCTTTCTCTCCGGTCATGCATCGGGCAGTTGCTCGGGAGGCAGCAGGCGCGCGGCGGCATGCGCTCGCAGCTCTGCAGATGACCTGAAGCGCGCTCACTTTGGACTGTAACCGGGGCTTTTTGTGAAGCTTGTCTCAATGTTGCGGACCATATTTGAAGCGGAGTGTGCTCTCTCTCCCACAGAGGGCATCCTGGGAAAGGAGCAGCCGCTGGAGGTGCTGAAGACATCGGCGCTCAACCACATCCCAACAGGTTGGACACTGTGTGTGTGTGTGTGTGTGTGTGTGTGTATCTCTGTGTGTGTGGAGATACGTGATTTCACTGTTAACCACATCCTGAGCGACTTTGCATGCACACTGTAGCCGATGTGATTGTTTCCGGCTGATGGTTGAAATATTCCCACTTTTAAATGTCTATTCTAATGCAGCCCTCACAGGTTTTATAAGTCTGAGGAGTCCATGCTTACTCCTGCACGTTTTGATTCATGCAGTGCCATTTTGTTGAATGGAAACACTGCCGCCCCAAATGTAGGCGAATGTGAAAACTGTTGTCGGATGTCTCAGGAGGAATGGCTGCCAAAAAATGTACCAAAACAAGCAGCTGTGCATATATTTGCGAGCTGTTTGATGCAGGGTCCTGAAGCAAGGGCTGAGAGAACAGAACAAGTCAGAGCTACCTTTTTACGAGGTTCTGTGTACCCAAAATATTCTCTCTCCGAATCCCCAATCTGCTGCTTCTGCAAGGAGGGCACAGTCATGTGTTGTACTGTATTTACAATACCTTCCTCTACCTCCAGCAGAGATGTAGAGGGACAGAAATAAAAGGGGGACATATGGAGATGAGGTAATGTGAAGGAGAGTCTGAGGTAATATGCATGAGGCATCATCTAATTCCATAATGAGGAAGCTTACATGTTTCACCACAGAGAGTCATTTAGAAAATGGAAATAGTAAAAAGTGATTCATAATTTCCTCGCTGTGCTTCTCGTGAGCTCCACCAGCCTGTTGCTTTTTCCTCACTGTGACCCAAAGCATCTTAACTCGCGTGTTTTGTTCCGCGTGCCTTCGAGCAAACGCTGATCAAAAACATTGAAATTCACTTGAGTGACTTCATCAGATATTCTGGAAATCTGTTGTCTTGGATACAGAGCTCCAGGGCCTCCACGCTGTGTGTGTACTGTATGTGTGTGTGTGACCCGGACAGTGTAGTCTCAGCGCACCTGTCTCCAATCACTGTAGCATCCCTCCATCGCAGCCTGCAGCAGCTCCCTCACAGAAACTGCATTGTTGCCTGAAAGCCCACTTCAGCACAGAGAGCCAGAAGTTTGTTAGTGTGCCGTTTTCAGATGTAAATCGGACCTTGGAGCCTTCTTCCAATATCGACCAAATATCCTAGTGTTTAGTCTTGTTTTGCCAAATTCAAGCTAGCAAGCTAACCTAGTGAAAGCCACGGTGTACAATTTCTTCATGTCATGTGCGTCTAGTCCCTTTTCTTTTAACTGTTTATGTTTTAAAAGCCATTTTAAACCAAATATGAATCACTGCAGTTGTATTCCGTGTCAGATGATGATACATGCAGGGCTGAACCAACTGCGATTTCACTTTTTAAGCTGTTTTTAATGAAGCTTGGAATCAACTTTCTGGTCCTTATACGGCTTCCTTTTTGTGCCGCGAGAAGCAGGGGAAACTGTTTTTTAAATGCATGTTAGACCTGTTAATAGTATAAAACTGATAATACTGGTGACGCCTAATCATTATCTTCAACTGTGCACACAAACTAGGTTAAAACACAATATATAGACATGAAAAAAAAGGCTTTAGAATGTTGATTTGGTAGCCCGAGCACACGGCCATAGTTGATTCAATCTTCACCTGTCAGCACTGCTTCAAGATTGGAAATGATGCAGCCAGTGTTTAAAGGTGAGGCTCACCTCTCAGTGAGGCCAAGCATGCTTAAAATAAACTCAAAGACCTGAACAAGTCCCTGCACGTCAGGCCCCTTCACCTTCACACGCCTCCGAGTTGTGTCTCTGCCTCACATTCAACCGTCTCCTTCCTGCTGGGCTGCGGCGCTGCAGACCGTCATGATGTCACCGAGACCGGGACAAGTCGCTGCTTGCTTTTTTGGCAGAACAGAACTCCCTGCACCTCTACTCGTCCCTCCCCTCCCCGCCCCGTCTCATCCTGTGAGAGGTCGCAGTGATCACAATCGGGGCTTTTATAACCAGGATGATCAACTCCAGCAGTTTGCATGGAGGCTAATTCACAGCAGCTGAGAGGAGTAGAGAAAGTAACGTAGGCGGATGTTCACGCTACCCACCCTCGGAGACCAATCAGTAAGCCGACCGCAGCTATTTTTCCAGCATCAACAGATGTGCTACTTGTTGCCTCTCATCTCACCCTTCTGCTAAATTCACCGTGAAGCCCCGTGCAGAATAGCCTCTTCTTTGTCACGCTTCAAAAAAGGAAAAAATAAGCCTCATTTTGCCAAAGCTCTCAGTATGACATCTATTAATCGTAACGAGTGTGGCGCTCATGCAGTCGGACTCGGATATATACTCCGGGTCTCAAATCAGAGACGCCAGTTCTCTGCATTGTCTGGTATAAATAGATGTGCAATTGGAGCCAGAAGAGTTGTGGAGTGTGCCTGAGGGGTTGTAAACAGATTGTGATTTGTTGCGGGGAGATGGAGGGAAGAACGGTGGGAGGGAGCCACTGAGCAGAGAAGGACGCAGAAGGGCCGGAGGATAGGGCAAAGAGGAGGAGGAGGAGGAGGAGGCTGGAGGAGAGGAACCTGCTGAGAGGGAAGGAAGAGACATGTATGTGATGCTCAAATCATGACTTAAGCAACTTGAACGGTACTGTTTGCAAGAAATGTCCAAATCATTCGGACCGGACATTACTCTGCAAGCTCTCCGGCATAATGTCTGATTTAATATATTTGTGAATGGAGCCGGTGAGTTCAAGGCAAGCAAAAGGGCATATTGAAGATAGCGACGAACACGTCTTGCTCAAGACACAATGACATTTGAAAATGGTTGTTTGTAGCTACGTTCATCCACGTCATGTTGCCCAAACCAAACAGAGTATTTCCAGTGAGCTTTGACGCGTCTGACACGGGCAATCTTCTGTTCTGTGCCACGTGTGTGCACAGGAAACCGCTGACAAAGAGATTATTCTGGAGAACGTCTATCTGCATCTATCGAAGAGATTCTCTTTTCAACAAACATCAAACTGATAAGTGTTCGAAGGAAAGAAAAGACGTGCGAGGTCCTGACTCTGTGTCTGCCTCAGATTCCAAAGGAAACTTTAGACAGAATAAACTCAGTTTGAAAAACTGAAATTGAACCCTTGTCAAACTGACGTTGATCCAGGGTCTCAGATGTGTTGTAAGACTGCTGTAGAGAGGGCAGCTTTGTCTTTGGGTTCCCTCTGAGAGCCCCCAGATTGTTTTCTGTCCGCCACACATCAGTCCTCTCAGGTACGTGTCTGACGTCACCGCTCGTCCACAGCGATGAGCCGATATCAGAGTTGATCTTTTTTCAAGTGGAAACCAAGTTAGCGTGATGGGTTTTTTTTTCACGGACACTGCCAAACATGTTTCAAGGGTTCTTGAGATGATGTGGTGTGTGTGTGTTTTGAAAGTAGCTGAGCAAACACCCAGAATTCATGCAACATCAATTCTCTGGCAAATCCAGCATTGAAACTGGACCAAGAGTCATCTAGACGACTATTGATTATATACTATATAAGTCTTTTTTTTTTTTTTTGTGGACATTTTAAAACATCCCCCGTGGACTTTGAGAAACGAGTCCATTTTGCACTTTACCATTTCAACCATGAACTGAGACAACGATGCTGCAGACGAATCATTATTTACAGCCCTTATATAAATCTAACTTTATGTATTCAAGCCTCTAGTGTTTAAATATCTGGGGAGTTTTTGCTCGGCTTCACTTAAAACCATACTGTGGTTTTATTTGTTCGGGGAACATAGGCAAATGTCAGGACAGGAATTTGATGCTTGTGGTATAAAGAATATAGCAGCTGAGTGAGAGAAGGACGCAGAGATATTTGATGCACGAGGAGGGTTTTCCTCAGCCTTAGAAGCAAGCAAAGAGAGGAGAGAGGGTGGTGTGTGTGTGTGTGTGTGTGTGTGTGTGTGTGTGTGTGTGTGTGTGTGTGTGTGTGTGTGTGGGTGTGTGTGTGTTGTGTGATGTCGTCGTTCGTCGTACGTACGTACGTACGTACGTACGTGTGTCGTACGTACGTACGTAGTTAGTTACGTAGTAGTGTGTGTGTGTGTGTGTGTGTGTGTGTGTGTGTGTGTGTGTGTGTGTGTGTGTGTGTGTGTGTGTGTGTGTGTGTGTGTGTGTGTGTGTGTGTGTGTGTGTGTGTGTGTGTGTGTGTGTGTGTGTGTGTGTGTGTGTGTGTGTGTGTGTGTGTGTGTGTGTGTGTGTGTGTGTGTGTGTGTGTGTGTGTGTGTGTGTGTGTGTTGCTGGTGTGTGAGCTGCTGTGCGTGACTCGTCTTGGGGTCAGGAGGAAC